GTGGTGTAGTTGTGTGTGTGTCGTGTGCGTGTGTGTGTGTGTGTGTGTGTGAGATTGGGCGACACCGGCCAAAAGTATCTGCAAATTCGGTACATGAAAAGGAATTAGTTTGCAATTATAATGACTAAATTAGTACAGCTAATCTTAGATAATTTAAATTTTCTTTGGAAAAATTTGAAGTAAATTTTCCAATTGTAAATCTGCAGCGTACTTAATGTACCAGTATACCTACATACTATTATAGTACTAGCAACTAATTATGATTAGTGGATTTAATCATGCCCTTGAGTAGAATTAAATATTGTGATTAACTGAATCATATTAAAGTTAATTACGCTTCGTGAAACAGTCACTTCAATTTAAGTACGGGAAGTTAATATGATTAGTGATTTATCATGATTAAGGACTTAATTAGCGCTTCGTGAAACCGGCCCAGGTAATAATTAGGAAGAGCAGATTTGACGCATTGGTGTTGCATCACGTCATCATTTGCATCTGTATCCTTGGATTGTTGATGTGTATGGTAAAACGAACATGGAAAAGGTTAGTTGCGTTTCTAAGTGTATGTTTCATGTTTATCTAGTTACACATGATTAAATGAAAGGGCAGGCAAAGCTATTTAATGTAGACTTTGATGTGTTCAGTATAATAGTGGCTAGTATAGTGAATGACGCCATCGTTTTGGCGTGTCTGTCCTACTCTACTTCCCCATTATTTACTCATGAATAAAATAAATTGTGAGTTCCCATGTTCCCATATATATATTATTACATATTATGTATAACATATGCTATAAATAAATAAATAAATAAATATATATATATATATATGAAAATAAAATATGTGAAGATATACGCGATGTAACGATGTACTACGCTAGTATCATGAAAAATTACATGCACTAGAATATTCATACATTTCATATTCTAGAGTTTGTTTTGTTTATAGTGGCATGGCAGCGTCAGGTCAGCGTTTGGGTTGGGTGGTTGGCGAATCTCGGACACAGGGAGTGGACACCGAGATAACGGATCATGGGATAGTTGACGATGCATACTCGGCCTATGTCGCTGTTCGTTGGGCGCGGCGCGCGTGTGTGTATGTGTGTGTGTGTGTGTGTGTGTGTGTGTGTGTGTGTGTGTGTGTGTGTGTGTGTGTGTGTGTGTGTGTGTGGTCGCGTGTGTGGTGAGGTGTGAGAGTGTGTGGGCGTGTGTATGTGAGCGTGAATGAACATGTAACATATGGCGCGTGATCTAAAAATGTGTTGTTGTTTGCCAAAAATACTACAAGTAAATGAGGTGTTGATACATCCTTCGGTAATTAGCCGCTAATAAATGAACGTGTAAGCTCTAATTCAGTCGATGGCCTAGATCGAAATCGACACAATGTTTATTTTTGTCTGCGAAATGGAGCAGAGCGTCTGAGTATGAGCCGCGACATAGATACGATTCCAAATATCCCGATAAATGTAAGCAGTCTCTCTGCGTTACAATCGCAAGTACTAAATCTGTGATCTATTGCCTAATATTTGAGGAACTATTCGAATGCTAACCAGCATATTATGACAGCGGCATAATTCAAAATCATGCTAATAGCATCGAATGATTTTACGACTATTATCATACGTATAATACCTATATATAGTCAGGCGTGTCATCATATAGACTATTTATTATATATATAGTTAATATTATGACACTCCTGCTGTATTGTATATTATGCGTTAATAGGTTATTGTTTTAATCAAACTTGCGCGTGTCACCATGTTCTCGTTTCGCATAATAATCTCATATTGCTATTATTACGCGTAATTTGTATCTGAACATTCCATTCCATTCTCTTGTACGCGCGTTTTGTT